AAAAAAAAAAAAAAAAGCTTGTTTCAGAATGCTGACTGCCTATTTCTGACTTTAACTTCCTTTCTCATTTTCCTTTTTTAGTGTTATTCATTCTCTTTAGCCGTAATTTTGTTAGTCTGCCTTTTGTAGTGTAACACACTAGGCCCGTCCGGTCCAGCGGTCTGTTGCCTTTTCGTAGCTCTTTAGAGCCAGAGATGAGAATGTTGCTATCGGATTCAGTGCTTTTGACTCTGCCGAATGCAAGATTTCTCATCTTTATTTTGTTTCCTTTTCAGTTAGGGCACTTGCTCTTAGTGTCACTCCATTCTACTTTGTGGTAGGACTCAGACTACTTAGTCTGCGCTCTGTACATTTCGTTTGAGTAACAATATCTATCGTTACGAAATAAAAAATAAAAAAATTGACTAAGGTCGCGTAAAAAACGCTATAAATTATAGGCGCAATTATTACTTATCTTTGTTATCTAACTTTTTAGTAAACACAACTTTTCAGATGTGCCAATTTTTTGGTCCCTACTAAACATATGGTGTTGTAGTTTTTATTATATGGATTTCCTTTTGCTTGCAATGTCAAGCTTTGTTTTAATTTTTATACTATTTTATAACTCCAATCTTCAACATGTCGCAAAAATGCATCTATTCCAGTGGTTCCCAAGCTTCAAGTCGATTTTACTGTCTTCATCCGAGGATGTTAGAAATGCAGCAAAAGAGGATGTAACTCGGGGCCTGACTTTATTAGAGAACGTCTTCGCAGAACTGAGCAAGGGACGAAAATTCTTCGGTGGTGACAAAATTGGCTACTTAGACATTGCATTCGGATGTTTCTTATCATGGATAAGGGTGACACAAAGAGTGTGCAAAATTAGTTTGATTGACGAATTCACGACTCCTGGTTTGTTTAAATGGGCTGAGCAGTTTTGTGCTGATGTTGCTGTTAAGGATGTCTTGCCTAATGTAGATGAGCTCCACAAGTTCTACAAATTATTGGAGTCTCACTTTAATGGTTAAAAGTCTATATATATATATATATATATATATATATATATATATGCGTTTTTTTTTATCGAAGAATGTATAAGGATCATTATGGATCTTTTTGTAGTTCAAATTCTATTATTGTTGGTTATGGTACAAGACTCGTTGATGCTCTACGAAATTTGTTTTGCATTACTTTGGAGAATAATCTTGACAAATAAGGGCTTGTTTATTTACTAAGATAACTCGAAAAAAAAAAAAATATATATATATATATTTTTTTTTTTACATAACCAATTAACTTGCAAATTTACTTGCCCAATAACTAGATAAACCAACAGGGTTGGCTCGAGTGGTAAGTATCTTGATGTCGCTTAAGCAATGTCTCGAGTTCGAGTCATTGTGGATGCAGAAAACTCTTGTTAGGAAATTCACCCATCATTGTCAGGTGTAGGACTCGGGTCAACCAACAGATTAGTCAGGACATAACTCCGAATACAGTGATTGGCTACTAAAAAAAATTGAGGTGGGCCACGCTGCAATTTCCAATCCTCAATCAGGTTGTAGGCTTGTAACAAAGTTGATTGTGAACGTGGTCTTGGGTTCCACTCTATCTTCCTCTTATTGGTTCATGTGATACATTCCTATGGATTTCATTGTGTTTTTCTTCCTTGTACATCATTATATAATACATAAGCTAATATGAATTTTATGAAAAAATGAATTTAAAAATTGGTAGAACTAATTTAATCCGACAAAAAAAAAAGTTCAATTTTATGGTTTACAAAAATATTGGATGAGTTGTATGAAAAAAAAAAAACTGTAGAACGAGTTGTTTTCGAAGTTTAACGAACGCCAAAATACAACTAAAATTATGTTATTTTTATATATACATTGAAACTATTTTAAGATTCCAAATAAAAATTAAATAATTTATTTTGTAAGAACAACGAGTTTAGATGTTTTTTCGGTAAAATATAAAACAAAATATTGAGCTATTTTCAGACTTGAACGAACGCAATACAAAATAGAATTAAGAGTATGTTATTTTTATTACAAAAAAAAAAATGTAGTTAAATTATTAGTAATTGAATCCAAAAAATTAGTTAAATTGTACATTATAAGTATGAGTTATACTATCTTACAACATAAATTTTTTGTTCATAAATTTTTTATAAAATATACTATTTTCAATGATTTTTTTACGTTGGATTGAGAAAAATTATGATTTCTTTCCTTAAGTATTTCTTTTAGCTTATTGTGACTTTATTGATCTGTTAAAAATGTACCGCGAAAGGCACCTAACTCACGAGTTCACGCCTGCAGCCCGCGAGTTTTGTGTTCCGCGCCCGCGAAAATCGTCTAGCCCGCGAGTTCCATGCCCCAGCTCTCCTTTCGCGCCCGCGAAATGGCCCTCGCTCGCGAGTGCTGCTCCCAGTTCACTTCCGCGCGCGAATCCGCCCACGAGCTCGCGAGTTCCGTTCCCAGCACGCCCGCGCGCGCGAATTCCCCTGCGACGTCGCGAGTTCCTGCCTAGCGCGCGCCCGCGCGCCCCTGTGCTGCCAACACCCAAGCCACACTCTCGACCTCACGGAATTCTTGGCAACCTTGCGAGTTTTTGACTAAATGTGCGTGTTTTTAGTGTGTGCTTGTGGTGTAGCTATATATAGACATTGTGCTTTGTAATTTTGACAACAACCCTCATTTCTCAATTTTGAAGTTGGGAATTCCTCTCTATTTTCTCTTTTTCCTTTTTATGTTTTAGTTTGGAGTTTATGAATAAATTTTGCCGGCGAATTTCCGGCGATATTGTTTCGAGTAAAGTTTCGAGCTTTTGACTCCGGTTTTCTTCCTAAATGCGTGTGAGAGTGGGTACTTAGCCTTAAGCCTCATTACTTCGTATATCGTTATTTGCTTTTTGTGAAAATTGATATTGTGCTTGTGTTGCTTGGAGGAAAAGATTGAATCTTTAGATCGTGAATGCTTGACTAAGTGTGATTAGGAGTTGTATGCTTGCTCGTCTTGTGCTAGAGTTGGGTTTAGCTTCCTAAGGTTTTATCTAGCATGGCAATATTTGGTTATTTGCGTGTGATTGATCATAGAGATTCCGGCAAACCAAAATCTCTCTTTCCCCCTTGATTTCTCTATCTTCTTGCGTGTTTACTTAATTGCTTTCAATTGCTCTCATTTCGTAGATTAATCTAATATAAATTCAAACCCTCAAACTGCAAGTAGATTGTTTAGGACCGTTTTAGTTTTGTGACTTTGACGACTAGGTAGTAAACGAAGCTCCGAAGAGTCTTCGTTTGAGAACGACCCGAGTCCGGGTAACTCGGTTACCAATTGTCCAAAAATACTACAAACAGTGCTCGAGGGCGGGTCAGTATTGTCGGCTGTTTGGTTTGGGTGTTGTTGGTCTCTGGGTGTTGTTGGTGTTGTCCGGTTGGACGAAGGTTGGATCTGATGGTTCCCAACCCAGTTAGGCGTTCACTTGCAGTTTCTGGGTCGGGTTTCGGGGCCGTGACTCTGCTATTATTGTGCTTGGTGTGGAATCATGTTGTGGGAAGAGGCAGTGTCTTCTCTTTTGTTGTTAGTTTGTTTAGTTGGTTGTTGTTTGTTATTTTTTCTAGGTGTTGTGTTTTTTGTTTGGTTCGTTGACCTCTGTAAGCTCGAGTGAAAGTAGATATTATCCTATTGGGATTAGTTAGTCTTCATTTATTGGAGTTAGGTAGTGTTTTCTGTTTTGTGTTTGTAGTGTTTTAGTTCTATCATTGCTAGCGCGACCTCTAGACGATCTTCGGATATGCTTCCCAGTTTTTAGCTCTAAGTTGTATCATTCAACTTTGGGCTGCCTTTTTTTTTTTTTTTTT